TGTTTTGTGTTTGGAATTTTGTGTTATGAGTACTAAATGTACTATTGTGATTTGGTTGTCAGCATGGGAAATGTTGTGCTGTGATTAATCTGATAACAGATGAAAGATTAGTGTATAAATACAGTACACTAATATTAAAAAGTTTTGATTTTGAGTAAGGGTGATAGTGCTTGAAATATGTATATGCTGTGAGGATTTCTTCAAGTACAAGTAATTATATATTGACATAAAGATCATGTTTGAATATGTGATCTTGATTTTAACGAATATATAGATAGCTTTAGTGACGTATGAGCAGGGTTTACAGGAAAGCTAGTTCTAGGTAAGCTTTTGGTTTAAGAGTTTTCTCTTGTATGTTGTTCCACCATGGTCCAATAGAATCAGGTTCATATGGTATATGCTATGATGAATATGGATATCTAGTATAGTTGCATTCATATAGGTCATGTATATGATATGATATGGTATGATATAATAGTTATGATATGTTATGATATGATATGTTGTATGGTATGGTATATAATGGTATGATATGATATGTGACGTAGTATGATATGTAGCGGTATAATATGAAGAGGTATGTAGATAGTGGAATCTTCGCATACATGTGTGATCTTCCAACCTGATACAGCTCTTGGAAGTGGGTCCATAGGGATATAGCCCATAGATTATCATGTATAACCTCTTTGCGGGAAACAACCCCTGAAGGTATATGTTAATATCTTTGCGGGATATAGTCCCTGGAGGTATATGTTAGGATCTCTCTGCAGGATAGAGCCCTTGGAAGTATATGTTTGGATCTTTTTGCAGCATACAACCCCTGGAGGTATATGCTAGGACCTTTTTGCAGGATACAACCCTTGGAGTGTAGTCATAGAAGCCTTATGTATATGTATGAAATACATGATTTCTTCTATTCTATTTTATCTGACATCTACGCTGGAAGTGAACTCATGGGTAGGGAATACTCAATAAAACCAGGGTTTACTGAGCTGGTTAATCTCACCCCGTTTGGGGGCTTACATTTAGTAGGAGAGCTTTCACATGGCAAGAGACCAGTTCAGGGTGACTAGAGATATTAGCTGGAGCAGATAGCTAGCGTAGTATTTTGGAGCAGCATAAAGCCATACTCTATATATATATATATATATATATATATATATATATATATATATATATATATATATATATATATATATCTTTTGTGTGTGTGTGTGTGTATGTATATATGTATATAGATGGATTGGAATTTTCTGTATATCAGGTGTTATGTATATATTGAGTGGGATTTGATCCTTAGTTAGTCCAATTTACAGCTATTAAGTTGTCCGTAAAGACTTTGTTCGAAATTGTATCTGTTATCATATTCAGATAGTGATTTGATCATTAGATATGGTCATAGGTTTACTAAGTATGGATTCTATGCAGGTATGGGACTGTATAGATTATGGTATATTGAAAAATAATTTATGCACGACAATACGTAAGGATAAATTAAAAGAAAAAGTTAAGTCACTAAGTTACATGGTGTAATGATGATACTTTTGCGAAAAGTCTCCCACTAAATTAATTACTTATGATAAGTTTTGTAATCATATGTGTGTTAATAAACCGGCTGTAGACGGGGTGATACAAACAACTAATTTTTCTAAAGTTAAAAAATTTAGCCATTTCTTCAAACTTTGTTGCATACTCATCAATAGATAGGTTACCCTGAACTAAAGCTAGGAATTCACCTTCTTTATTTTCTCGAGCATCACGAAGAAAATACTTCTCTAAGAACTCTTCTTCAAATGTCTGCCATGTTATTTATCAAGCTTCAAGCTTGAGTTTCCTTCTAATGCCAATCCACATATAGCATATAAGTAGCATACATGATCTTCTGAGCATTAGGGCACTCCATCAACCTAAATATTTTGTCTGAGGCATGTAGCCACTTAGCAATAGCTATAAGATCATATTTCTTTTTCAAAGATAGGTTGTTGATTCTTACAAAATGTAACATCCCGCAAAATTAGGAATGTATACAAACTACCATTAGTGATGTAATACATGTTTTGAACTCGATATATATGTATACGTTGAGTGTGGAATAAATTCAAGTTAGGAGATTTAATTGTGTTCATGCATGTTGTTAGGAATAAGTAGGAATATTTTTTGAGTTGAATGTAAATTATAAGTATATGGAATCATGTGTGAGATCCGAATTATATGTGACACATGCCTTGTTTGTGAATTATATAGCTAATTACTCTAGAGTGGGAGTAAATTAAGTTAGGGAATTATTTGGATAAACATGGTAAGTGAGTAGTTATTTTAGGCATGTGGAAACTTTAGTCAAAAGGATAGGAATAAATTAATTGTAACATAAAAAGAAAACATAATGTCACTTAGACTATAGGAGAACTCATAATCTTGTGGGCTAGTACCTAAGTTAGTAACTCTATAGGACTTTTATATTTTTGGTCCCCTTCCATGTCTTGGCCGAAGCCCTAAGGGTCTTGGGAGTAAGTTGGATTCAGCCCAACCTTGTATTTATTCTAACCTCATCTTAAGCATCCCATAAGGAAGCCCTTGATTGGCAAGGGATCCACACATGGCCAAACCTCACCATCCTTGTTCCCCCTCCATAGGTGCGCATTGGCTAGACAGAAAGGAAAAAGAAAATTCTGATGACTTGTGGCCTGAATCAAATCCATTCAGCTTTTTAGACATGCAGCCAATGAGAGAATGGTGAGCAATTTGCATGTCCTTTTATTGGATAATAATCCCACACATTTTCTTCCCTCACATGTGCGCATGTGTAGAAGGAAAAATTCTGACCCATTGTCCTTGAGCATCCAAGCTTAATCAGCCAAGAGCCATCCACTCTTGTACCTCCTTCATGCGCTAGGTATAGGAGAGAAAATAAAATTCTGGTCACATGTTCTAGTAGCCCCATTCCACCTCAGCCTTGCATTTCACCATGTGGCAAACACTATCCTCCACCACTCCTTGCATGCGCATAGAGTGTGTAAGAAGCAAGCTGAATTCTTGTCAAAACATCTAAGTCTTTCAACTTTTGGCCAACCATGCAGCCAATGGGGCCAAAAATAAATCTGAATGAGTCAATTTTAATTCAGCAACCATGACTCTTATTTCCCCATCACTTGAACGCACCTTAGGAGAAAGAGAGCTGACCTTTCTATTCAAAATAAAACCTAAACACCATCCTCACTCTCTTAAGGCCGTAGGCATTTAGCAAAGAAAACAAACCAGAATTTGTATTCCCTCTCTTTTCCTCCACTAAACCGTGAACATCATTGATAGAAAACAAAAAGTTTTAAACACCTTCTCATTCCCCCTTGACCGTGAACGTTCTTAGGAAAGAACACAAGGGAAAATTTGTTTCATCTTCCATTTGTTTCAGCCGCGAGCTCCATGAGCAGAACACAAGATATTTAGCATTCTTCTCCTCCTCTCCCTTGTGACCGAACCTCAACTATCAACAAGCTAAAGTCCGAAACCATGTAGCTTAAAAGGAATCTTTGTTGCGTGCACGACTAAATTTAAACTTTCATCTTCCACTCCATCTCCTTGTGCGCGCGGCCAACACCTTGAAGCGGCTAGACTCGTGCTTTTGGAGTATCGAAAGATTTAGGGGTTGTTCCTTAATTGAATTACTAATTTTGTGTACTACAAGAAGGTAAGAAACCCTTAACTCCCCCTCCATCTATGGTTTAGGTCGGTATGTATATTTAGGGGAATAGACTGTTTATCATTCCTACTCCTTGCTCTCTATATTCGACCATCATTTGTGTACTAGGGGAATGTTTCTTTTGATTTTTTTCCCATCCACGAATTCTGCCTATTAGAACAACCCTAGAAGATGATGTATGCAAGCAGAAATTGTTTTATTGGGAGCTTAGGAAATAGTTTTCTTACCACTCTTTGAATTAACTAAATTAATTAGGCCTTGCATGTATTAAACCTAGTAGGACAGCATGTTGATAGGCCCTCCTTAACGCACCCTTAGCCATGTAGGATTAAATTTATAAATAAAATGTCATGAACCTTTTTAATGTTAACCGAATTGGTATGCTTGGTAAATGTTGGATTCTTCGCTGTTATGAGAAAATAAAAGGAACCATTTGAAGTCAGAATTAGTTAAGGAAAGGATCATGCAAACCGAATGTGAATTAAGATCCTAGGGAAATAAAAGTGCTACGTAACGTCTAGAAAAATTATAGCATGTAATTCTGACTTGTTGTACCATATTTAGGTGCGCATAAACATTAAGAACGCGGACTGCTTCGGTACTGTTTGATTTAATATTTGGACGCGCAGGTAAGTGTTAGGTGTCATTACCTCTTGTGACTGCTAGCTAGTATGGGATTGTGAATTGTTGCTCTCATGTTTTGGATCCGAATCTTGTATATGTTATTCGTATGTTGTTCATGGATTTGACATGCTGGAAATTCTGTTTTGAGAAGTATTTGGTATTCAGCATTTTAATATTGGAGATCCATGGAACATATGCTATATTGATTATTGTTTAGTCATGCATACTCATATCATAATTTTAACTGTTTTGTGTGCGGACATTACATAGCATACATACATAAATTTCATGCTGATACTGAAAATAATTATGAAAATTAAGCATACGTTTGAGCACGCATCATGTAGGCATCCCTTCGGTACTAGGGTATGTGACACTTGGCTTCCGTCCGCTTAGGTCACAGTTGGAGCCCTTTTGAGGAGCCACCCAGGATTCTCCACTGTGTTTGTTAGTGATACGTGCACCGTAGTGCTATGAACGTACACTTTTGACGTTATATACGCACCCTTTGGCGTTATATACACACTATGATTATGATTAGTATTTGACGGATTTGAACTGATGATGTGGCTGTTTTATAATTCTGTATCTAGTTAGTACTATTGCATTACTGGTTTTGTTATCACACTACTGGGATTTTTCTCACCCTTTTGGGGCTGCAATTTTTATAAAATTGCAGGGGGACGAAAGAGCATTTGAGGACGTGGTTAAATGGATAATTGCTGTTAATTGCTGCTGTTTGGGCTTTTCTGCTGTTGACTGTTTGTCTGTTGGATGACTGTATTATTGTAATATTTTGGGAAGTTTGGATTACTGTTGGAAGCATTATTTAGCTACTATTTTCAGGTTTTTATGGCCGGTTTGAAATTTGGGAAATCTGGAAACGTTTTGCGAAAATAATTTCTGAACATTTTTAAGTGCTGTTTTTATAAACTGTTTTGCGAGCACTTTGCGAGTTATATTTAGTGGGGCTACAGACCTCCAAATTGCTTATAATTAATATGCGCGCGAAGCCCCGCGTGTCTAGTTTCTGGTTATATAAATTTTACAATGAAATTCTGAAACCACGATTTATTATAATTTTTGCACGAAGACAGGTTTCTCAGGAAAATGATTATTTCAGTGAGCCATATATTTCACTAAGTTTTCACACTGTTTTAATTTCTTTTGACCAGATTTGAAAACGAAATTTTAATGAGACGAAAAACAAGTTTTCAGAACTTATCCTCTAATAATATGACTCTAATCCGCTTAGCAGACAACTCCCTTGTATGCATACAAGGGAGGGTGTCACACAAAAGTCATCAATTGGCTCTCTACGAGCATGATTTGGCCCTCGCCCTTAATTTACACCTTCTCCACCACCTTAACCTCTAGGTGGTGGTGGCAGCTGATTATTCTAACGATTAGAACTTATCTCTTCCATGAAGGATCTCATCATCTCTTGGTTAGCTTGTCATTTGGCTCCCATTTCCTCCTACATCCCAACCAAAGCAGCTAGGACAAGATCTAGCTAGTCGTTAGAGCCTCCCCAATGATTATTAGAATTAACCATGATTCTCACATGTCACACAAAGGAATGAGTTGATCGGGCTCTCACTCAGTAATTAGATATGCATTATGACAATAAACATTGATAACTTCTCAACAAGCAGCACACTTAACCTTACACACTAGGTCTTTCCCTAGAAAGTTGCTCTAATACCATAAAAGGTAACATCTCGTTTGTACCTGCTCCGTTTACTCATTCTAGTTGTTCAATATAGCATTATTCCTTAACAATTATCAACGGAAACCACGAAAGTTAATTCTTAAATATCATCCAAAATCATAAGAACTTGAATAGCAAAAGAGATGACAACATTTTGCTGTGATTTGGACCACTTAGACAACACCAATGTTTCTTTTACCACCTAATTGATTATTCCTCTTGCAATTCATATATATCTAACTATCCTATAGTATTTCATGCAATATCCATCAATGGATAAACAAGTTTAGGTATCAAGCCATCATACATAAACACATAATTCCTCTTAAGGCATCCTATGATTAATTGCTAAGTTTAGATCATAATTACATCACTTGAATTACAAACCAAAAGCACCATAATTGAATCATAACTCATGCACAACATTTAAAATCCTTTTCACAAAGATTACCAGTTCTCTCCCAAAAATTGTTAAACAAATAAAGTCCCAAAATAAGCATGTCAAATATATGCAATCTTCAAAAGAGCTATACATGTTCCTTTCCCCTTGAAGTACCCAGTACACTAGGACTACTCCGATAAGTCGTACCTCAAAATGAGAGTCCGTATGAAAGTTCAAAGAGTTGTACCTCTTAGGAAAAATCCCCAAAGGGAAGTCCATACAATATTCTCTTGACCAATGAAACTCCTCAATCAATTCATAAATATAATGACTAAACACACAAGCACATCATATTACACATCCAATTGCATAATAATCCGTATACTAATCATACAATCTAGCCTCTAATGCTTGTTCATTGGTTCATACACCAACAAAAATAATTTTCTATATGAATTCATATTATACTATACTCTAACAATCCAACAATCATTAAATGAATTAACCATTATTCCAAGGATTATGGTGGAATAATAAGTGGGACCGATCCCAATGTCTAAGGGTTTCCTTCTTGAAATCAAGCTTTCCAACACTTTTCTTTGTCCAATAAGCCAATAGCATACATGCACTGTCACCAACAATAACCTATCAGAGCTAATACTAACAATCAATAATTCGTTCCTCACATGGATTAACCAAGCCAAAGGCTCCAATTTACCAAAAATCAAGGTTAGACCACTTACCCCTTTGATTGTTGAAATTCAAGAATGGAATTGTTCTGCCTGAGGCAGAGATGTCTAACCGTAGGTTAGATAGTTGATGTTGGATCTAGTGCTTTCTCTCTAGATACCTATGAATTAGGTATCTTGTGGGCAGCGAATTACTACACACTTATACGACGGCCTTAGCCAAATGGGGTGTGTGTGTGCGCTATGTGGTTGCATAAAATAGGGTTAGAGAGATCCATCATACCTGTGGTCTTTAGCTCCAATTTATAGTGCTTACCTTTGGGCTTGTATTATTTGGGCTTTCTATGCATGTGGGCCTCACTCAGGTCTATAACAGTTGCCCCCCAGCCTGGTAGACTGAGTATTTTGGATGCTGGGATGTCCGAATTATGTCCTTTGACGTCCACGTTTCACCCCGGATACTAGCCTATCCCAGCCGTGTCACTATTTCTGCTTTGATTCGAACTTCGGCTTCTCTTAGCTTGAGTGGAGGAGATGGACGAGGTTCTTGTGGTTATCCCGGATATAACTGATGGGACGTAAATTCGTTCCCATCTAAGCCCATTTTGATGGCAAAATACCATACGTTCCCTCATATGATGAGCAACTTAGTATGAAAAACACTTGTTTTACACATTTGTGACAAAAACACAGTGGGGGAACGTATGATGACGTATTCCTTTGAAAACATATTAAAAGGGGAACGAATTGAGAGAATTTATTACACCTGCTACCTTCATTTAATGCTCTGCTCATTTTGCAGGAAATGTGGAAACAACATCTTCTAAAAAGCAAGGCGGTGCACCACTTAAGCAGCAGGAAAAGTGAACAACAGAAAATCAAGAGTTCTTATTGGCTAGGACGAAAGCAAGGCATGGGGGACTGCAAGAAAACGGCTAATCATCAACAAAAACTATCCCATCAAGCAATTTGCAAGCTTCTAAACACTGTTGCCACCGCCCCGTCCCTTCATTCAAGAAACCAACTCCAAAGGATTTACAAGAATGCCACTCTCTCTTCTGCCTATAAATAGGACGTCCCAAACACAAAAACATCATCGAATTATGGAGGGATTGAAGTCCTAAAAGAAGAGATCACCTAGTATTAGTTAGTAGTTTAGTTTTGTATATTTGTTGCTGTAGTTAAGTGACAATACTTCTCCCTCAATCTGTAACATTCACTTGAGACTCCTCACGAGCATAAACCATTTTCTCCATTTTATATTTTGTTGTAATCTTTCTTGTTCCATTTCAATATAAGTGTTTCTTCTTTTCTTTTCAATCGTTATCTCTGAACTGAATCTCGGGTCTATTGGATTTTAGTTTAGAATAATTATGTTTAAAATATCAGCTATGGGCTGAACTATCTGTGGAACGGATAAGCTGTAAAACTCTTAAAGAATTATTTCCAAAACTCTTGACTGGAGCTTTTTGTATTTCTTTGGCTAAGTAAGCTATATTCACTGTGTATCAATGGAAATTGAACACATACTGAGAAAGGAACTTCTTTAAGGAAGGGATTTCAGACAACTTAGCTATTGGGGGAAGGTAGTGTTATGGCAAAAACACTATTGGTCACCTTAGGAATAAGGGGCCACTTCGTCCATTTTAAGGTTCTGTACTAAGTACCTGTTGGAGTCAAGGGAGCCGTAGAAATATGGAAACTTGTGAGCCATCTAGTCCATGAGCTGAGGAATCAGAGTTGGCAGATAAGCAACTGGGACAAAGCCAAAAAGAGTTATGTAACAGCCCGTTACGTACCGGTATTGTTAACATTAATTATGATATTAAGCGCAGTTACAATCACGGCAGTTCATTTATAAAACGCGAATAAATTTTTTCCGATTATTACGCGAGAATTTAAAACATAAAAAGGCGTAATAATTAAAAGCTGTGACCGTAACCGTAAACTCTTGCGGAAGACTTATTTAAACTATTTTTATCACTTACGTTACTTATTATAAGTTACTAAGGAGTTCCCATAAACTCACTTAGCCAATTTCCAACTTTACGTTTTTTTCCAATTCGAACATGTTTCACTCTAAGTTTTTCTGCGACCAAACCGATCGCAACCAACCCTTCTTCTCAGATTATATCTTTGTGTTACTTAATTCCCTTTTTAACAAGCTAACATACGCTCAATTCGGAGCTCATTTGCTCCGGTTATCGCCGTTTGAAGTTGGATAAGCAATTAGCCCAAACAACCCCAAAAACAGCTCCAAACCACTCACATTGCTCGAATTACTGCACTCAATCCCCTCAACCAAGTACTCTCAAATTTTTATCCTACAAACTAGAAATCTCAAACTTCATTTTGATATATCACACACTCAATTTGACTGAGACACGAAGCGGGAATTAATTTCCCAAATCCGGTCCAGAATCTGCCTCAGGTGCAGGGGCACATGAGCAGTCCGTGTTTCTCTATTTATTTCAGGCCGAAGATCAACCCAGATTTTCCTTAAATTTTGACACAAGGTAGAGGACATCTCAACCTTCAAAATGGCGTATGGCACGTCCCTAGGGGACTTCTATGGAGGGAGATATACTCTCCCGAAGTTTGCCTAAAATCTGCCAATTCTACAGAAAATTCGCCAGAGTTTCCTTTGTTTTTCCAATAATCCCAAATTTGTAAAAGATCATTTAAACCTCAAATGTACCTAATAAACACATGATAATACAGTAATAATCCAATGGGTGGCACACACAAGGACCAACAACGCCTTGGGGCACTTACAACCCAATCCAGTTTATAGTTATTAAACATAGAGTCCATATTAATCATTCTTAAGTAGTTGCAATCACTAACACCTTTTTCATGCATATTTCCATCATACATATTATCATAACCTAAAATAGGCCTAAGGCCCTTCCATCATAATTAGACATGCATCAATACTATTACAATATGGCTTTACAAATTACAACTTGAAACTAAAACTTCAAATTACATTCTTCTAAAATTTCAACTTAATTTAAAAGACAACATAACCAAATACATCACTACTAGACTTAGGCAAAATGGCATGAACAAGATGCTAATGAAGCTACTAATAAATACAAATGACATGTTCATGCCCTAAGTCTA